GGCCGCGCCCCGCCGCGGGCCGCCGGTTCGAGCCCCGGCTCCGCCGCGCGATGTGTCCAAAGACACTGCACTGTGTCTCTACTGAAAGCTGAGAATAAACCAGAAAGCCTAAAATCTTCACTTACAGAAGATACATGTCTGTAACAGAAGGCTGCTGCTGATTCTTTCCTGGGATTAAGAGTCGCCATCAAGGAAAATTTCACTCGTTACTGTTTTTCTTTTTGTAAAGTGACGCTTTCCCAAACCTGAGGCAAGATAGAAACATAACTTTGATTCTGTGTTGCTCTCTTTCAGTCAAAAGGAAATAGCTGTCTTTATTTAAAGTCTCTGTTGGCACCGCGATCCAGACATGCCCTTAGACAATGAAATGGACAGAAATCCATTTTCCAGGCTGGAAGGAAGGCAACAAATGAATTGAAAGAATGAAGAGTGAAGAGGAATTGAGGCGTTCACAGGGCTTGCAGCATGAGTGATTTGAAGTGATGGGAAGGAGGCAGGTATGGCATTTGTTTGTTTAAAATATAGGACTAGACTTGACTTTAAGGTGCACATTGCATTGCTGAAAAGTCTGCTGCTGTGTTTCTGCTAAGGAGATGCACACGTGCAGCACGTAGCGCACGTGCAGTGATCCCAGTGCAGACCAGTTGCCTGCAGACACATGGTAACCCTTGCATGGGGTTCTTCTGGCCACGTGCCCCAAATGCAGGGCAGTTAATCTGTGCACGCACCATGGCCTTTTGTCTGAGTTTCCTGGGTGTCCAAAAAGAAGCTATAGCCTTCCTCTGCTGATCTGACCAGGCCCTTAAACATCAGGCCATTCACGGCAAGCAGCCAAGCTTGTCTTTTTTGGGCTGGAAGAAAAAGAATTTTCCAGGGAAAGCTGGAATATGACCACACTGACAAAGTCAAGATGCAAGATGTCCACCGAGAGAGTGGTTCACGACAGTTTTTAGATTTCATCTCAGTCTCCAGAGGAGCCCAGTGACCAACAGGCACCTACTAAATCTCATAACATTCAGTTAAACCAACACCTGTCCAAAGCATCTGGTGTTCGTACCTGGGGAAGGACCTGCAGGTGGGAGCGCGGTGCTGCTAAGGAGCACTGCCAGGCGCAGCAGATGCTACATGGTCTAAAGGAGTGCTCGCCTGGATCTGTATCATCACATCTCTTGTTTGTAGTATGGCTGAACTTGAGGCTTCTTCATAGACTTTTCTACGTAGTGTTGCTTGATTTGCGCTGTAAGTCCTGTGGTACAAGATGCAGCTTTCAGCCTCGTACTGTGGAGCTCTGATGCCTTGTTAAGGCCTGAAGACGTGTCTGCAAAACGCTCGGAACTCTCTCTTTCACTTCTTGCACTGCAGCTCATCAGAGTAGCATCTGGCTGATGAATTTTGTCCTTTTTCTGCAGCTGATAACGTTTCGCTCATTCTACTTCAGTTCACATCTCGAAAGCAGAGAATTTCCTGCCTACAACGTTCCCAGAGACATAGATTTGTTGTTATCTCATTGTAGTGGTTTTACTCTCTGCCTTGCTGTTTATGCTCAGCATTGCAGATGCATCCAGAAATCAATGCTGCCGTTCTTGTTGTTTTTGACAGGCAGCTCCTTAGAACTATTGGCAGTGAGTTGGGTGCTCTTCTCCCTGTTTTTTCCTTCTTGTGCTCTGTGCATGGTCCTTCCTCAAGATAACGTTTCTGTTTCTTGAGTGTTCCATATGTAGGAAACTACACGGGTGAGTGATCAGACACAAGCAAGTCCGAAGAGGATGCTTTTGACGTCTGCCCACGCACAACGTGCCATGAGTCCCCAATACATGCACTAAGCAGAAGATTACTACGTGTCCTGGGTCAGGGTGAGCCTGGAATCAATACAGCAAGGCTCAGTATTGTTGTAAAAAGTCATTAGCCTTAAGTGAGCTGCTCTGCCCTTGTAGACTGCTGACAATGGAAGCTGCTAAACCAGTTGTAAATTTGACTGGGGGAATTGTGGGATTCCCGCAGTCTCAAAGCTTGAGGAGGCTTTATTTCTTCAACAAGTCTTACTAAAACTCTGCAGCTCCTCTCTAGGACGCAGCGTGGGGATTTTTCTCAGATGTTTTGACAAATCCTGTTGCTGGAAATTAGCTTTTAAGGCCCTTTAGACCTAGCTCTAGAAGGAGTCATTCGTCCCAAACCAAACAAGAACACAAATAACTTTAACGAGACAGAAGATGTGCTCTCATCAAAAATGCTTTACTAACGCAGGGCTTTTGGTTAGCATAATTCAGTGCTTTACACTGAATCGGAGAATTCAGAGAGAAATTCCTTCCTTCCGTTTCTCTAAGCGACTTCATCAATAGATGGGGACAAAAAAAATCTCCTCTCTGCATGGCTGTTTGCAGTAGGGCAGAGTGAATAAAACAGCAGCAAAACACTTTTCCATGGATTCATTTTCCAGTTTCTGGACTGAGTTGCCACTGACCATCTCACTAGCCGAGGTATCAGACTTACTGCAGTGCAAATGCTGCTGTATTGCCATCACTGCCACATTCCCCAGTAAAAGTGACAGGCAGGGGACAGCAATTCATATAGGTGAATTTTAACTATTCTGAAACCAGACTGGGAAGTCACAGCCTAGATGCGGTCAAAGTGTTTAAAGCCGATTTCATTAGTTTTTCTTTCTTGTTCCGGAGTTTGCTCGAGAGGCCTAACTTAGTCTGAGATTTGCTATGTCCTTTTCTTACCAAGTGCTTTCTTTTTTCTACAGTACTGCTCTCTTGAGCTGGCTTCTTTATTTTGTTGACATCAGAGAAGTTGCTTTCCATTGAAATTTGAACTGAGCAATTTTATTGATGTTCACAACATCCACTTGAATCCAGTCACTTACTCGGAAGCGTACCTGCAAGAGAACAGGCTGAATATTTGCATAAGACAATCTGCTCTATTATCGTTTGTAATTCATGCTATCAGATTTGGGTTTTTTTTTTTTCACTTCGAGAGATAGGATTCAGTTTGTGTATGTTCTTAAAGAGGAGTTACTATTTGCCTGTTAAAGGAGTTTTACAGACTGAAGTTACTCTTCTTTCTTTTTATTCATCACATAAAAATAAATAAAATGTGTGTTTCTCTAGCATGCAAACCTCCAGAATGTATTGAAAACAGCATCTTGTCATCAAAATGTCGTGGTGCTTTTCAAACTGTGGAGAAAAGATTCTAAATTCATTACTGTTAATTGTTGCTTAATATTTTATTTTAAGTTATGTTTATGTTACTCCTAATTTCTATCCAGACTTTTGTGCTTCTGAATGCTAGAGGAAAAAATCAGAAAATGTAACCATATTTAATAGAAAAGAAAGTGTTTTTTTTTTTTTTTTACTTAAATATTGCTCTTCTAAATTACCTGCTGTTTTTAGTCAGCCATCTTTCAGAGCTGCAAGTTTTGGGACAGTTCAGAACGCTGAAGACTGTTCTATAGGGTCTTTCCACTTCACATTAGTCTTTCAGTAGGTCTTCTGCTGTTCAGTATTTGTATTGTGATGGTCTTTCCTAGCATTTCTTGCAATGCTTCATTTAAATATATATTCCTCTGTCACTGCAGAACTGAATTCAGTGTTCTCGTAAGTGATATCAGCTGCAGTGAGGGAATGAAATAAAGGTCAATGAGAGAGAAGCAAAGGATGTGACTGAAAAAAAACTTCAACAAGAAGGAATACCTACAGCTAAGTATAAAGTGTACTGCATTACTTACAGCTTAGACTTACTACTGGTACTACAATATGTGTGTGTCAGATGTGGACATATGTCTATCTCATGCCATTTACCTGCAAGATTATCTAATTTGTGCATGCAATTGTATTGTGCATATACAATAATTCAGATGTTTGTTGTGTACAAAGCTGCAGGTCTAATCCAGTTTGGAAATCTACTTTTATGTATGCTCAGTAACTGACTTTTACCAGCAACGTAGTGGAGATATTCCTGTAGTATGTCCAAGGCTGGAGCAGGGTCTAGTGGAGACTTCACTGTGGGTGCTTATGGTGATCACTCAGCCTTGAGTGATCACCATTCATAAATTTGAATGGGATTTTTCAAAAGGGAACGAAAACAAGGGAAACACAGGTGGTTCCAGGCAGTAAAAACACATTAGGGCAAGCCGTGAAGTCAGCAATAAAATCAGTAAATGTAAATCAACCTGAGAGTTCTGGGGAGGAAATGGGAAAAGCAGGACTAGAGCTGCTGGGCTGATGGTCAGATGTGGACACTGCAATGAGCTGGAGAAGGACTGCCTGGCTGGCTGGCAGTGCCAATGAAGACCACATTTGTGTTGCTCTTTGTACTTTGCATCCAGGGAAGGGCCTGCCTGGCTCTCTAACTCTGGGAGATGCCTGGAGGTGGGCTGTAGCATTGCTCTGTGTCCTTTTCCTCATCTCCCCCTGTAATGACCAAGTAATGCTGCTACAATTGCAGCAGACAGCTAGGCTGTATCTTCTGGGGGAAAAGATGATTTTTGACTTCACTCTACTGCTCCAACTTTCATCCTCTGTTTCTGGGACTGGGCTATCATCAACAAGTCAAATGCAGTCCGGATTTAAGTGTATATTAAATAAAACAAAAGCTATGCAGAGTTTCTGTGATAGCATAAGGCCTTGGAAGCATAGGAAGGCTCTCCCTGCTCAGTGAGAGCAATTTCCTGTTACTGCAAGAAAACACACTGTGCAGTGTCAAATAGCATCTTAATACTATTTTTTCCTGCCATTTGTATTCCTATGGGAAAGCTATTCCAGAGCTTGCTGTGGTCATAGCAGCTTTCTCCTAATTTCGACCTGAATTTATTTGCTACTGTTTGATCATGTGCCAACATTGTTCATTAACTTAAATAGCTCTCTCCTCTCTTCTTAGTGTTTACCCCCTGCTATATTTATGGAGAACAATCATATCTCTATCCAGTCTTTGTTCTGCTAGACCAAACAAGCCAACCGTTCTTCTCTCATATGGCAGGCTCCTCAGTTTCCTAACCCTCTTAGTAGCCCTTTTCTGCCGGTTTCAGTTTGAATTCATCCCTGTTGAACATGGGTGACCAGACCAGAACAAAGTGCTCGGATAAGATCTTCCTGGGGGCCTGCACAATGGAAACTTGTGCGAAGCTGAGCCAGAGCTCTACGCTGAGGGTGCTGTCCTTGTGTTTCCTCTGCAGGCTGCTGGAGGGCCCCGATACATCTCTGCTGCCATCCTGCTGGTATCCTGCCATGACAGGTCTGCTACACCGTGGCCAGGCAAAACGACTGCTTCTGGGTAAAGACTCAGGACTATGTGAGAGATTGGAGAATGCTGTCTTTTCAGGCGCCTTTTAGAGAAACTTATTTCTCTTTGGATAGCTGGTATTTTTCTTTGGAATACGCATTTCTGCTGCCCTCAGCTCATTCAACTAGCATAAGTATTACTTCTTCAAAATGATATTTATTGTTGTTTTTAACACATTTCAGTACAACTTTATTTTTTGCAATCAATTCATGAAACTCTTTAACAGTTACAATTGAAATCAATTTGAAGCTCAGTCTTAAAGCTAATGTTTTATCATGTTTCTGCAACCTTTCCAAGTTGCTTTTTGTAAAGAAAATTTTTTTTCAGTGCTGCACTTTAGATTTATTCATTCCTGTTTCAACTCCTCAGGGACTGGGAAAAGTAGATCATTTCCTACTTTAAGCCTCATTGATTATGTGCACATGTTCAACAGAAGCTTTGTGCGTGGTCTTCCTCATACACACAGTCCATATTCTGCCTTTTGTCAAGTTTAGACACTTCAGTAATTCTCATGGTTTCCTAAAAAGTTGGTTTCCTCAAGACGTGGATATCCCCTCTGGGGCCACCACTGCAGGGCATCCTTTTTAACAGAGGAAAAAAGCAGTGTCCAGGTAAGTAACCTGGGCCATGAAGAGAGACAGCATTCGGTAAAGTCAGCAGTGACGTTACTTCATATAAATCAATACAGGTGGCAGCTGGGTGTTGCTTGCAAAGAGCCAGAATATAGAGGAATGCCTGATTATTAGATGTGAAGGAAAAGGTTGTGAGGAAAAGGTGTGTCTGGTTGGCTGCCCTTTTATATAAGGGCAACTTCTTCTCATTTGTAGGAAAAAGGAGAAGATGTAAAGAGTCGTGACTACTTCTAAGAGAGCCAGAGCTGACCTGAGAATCTTTCACAGATCTCCACAGTTGATGCAGGTAATAACAGCCTGTGTGCCTCTTTGGTAAAGGCTGAATGGTGGGCAGAGATGTGCATGGAAACAATGTAATTACTGATTAATGTCAATAATGATTAAATTATGATTATATAATTAACTTATATGATTTTTTATTGCTTTAGTTTTAGTTTATTTCTTTTTGAAAATTAAAAGGAATAAGAGTAATCCTGAGATGCATCCCTTGGCAAAGATCCTTGCAAAAGTGTAATTTTTCATCTGAAGGATATAGAAAGTAGTGACTAATTAAACAGCTATTAAAGGTAGTTACCAGGAAAAGCAGTTGGCTCCCTTTTGTGTGAACATCTAAGATATTTTGGGCAAGTCACAAAGTAAACATAAGGTTTTTTTATTGACCCAGACTTGAAGTCTCTCCACACATTTGAACACAAACGGGTTCCTGCCTCCCACAGGTTTGAGCAGTCTTATTCACGCTTAATAAAGAGTAGAGGGGAGAACTCTCTCATTTGGTCTATATCTTTGTACAGAGACTCGGACCTCTTCTTAGAGGCTTATTTTTTCCACTTTTTACTCTGATGTTTCCCCTGCCAGCAGGAGAGTCTCTTTGGAGATGAAGATGCTCAAGCTTTTTGGAATTCTCTTTTTCTGTGGCCTGCTGACACCATCTCAGGAAGTACTATCTGGTCTGTCCTGCGCAGTCAGTCCAGGAGCAATGCGGAATGGTAAACAGAAAGAACATGAGTTATGTTTATTTTGAAAGGTGTTTGGGACCTTGAGGTGGAATAAAACCTCTTGACTGTCTTCATCTTTATTTTTTCTTCCCTATTTTATAGTTCCTCATGGCTCCAGACTTTGCTAGAGCCTTTGACAACCATTGTTGCATTCATGGACTCTTAGGGAAGTCTCTACGATCCGGAACTGGGACGTGTTTCTGCACCAAATAGCCATAGAGAATCTTAGGGCTGCATGTGGATTATTTTCTCTTTTTATCTTAGTTTCCTATTTGTGTACTGGATCAGCTGATTTTCACCAAACAACTGCTATGAAGTTTAACTGCCATGTTAATATTTGCAATGCTTCAGCAAAAAAAAAAAAAAAAAAGAGCAACTCTTTTCCAGTTTCCAGTTACTTCTGCTTTTTTCTTTTAAGTCCTTTACAAATAGGAATAAAAAGTTGTAGGTTCAAGCACTGTTCCTGCCGAGTATGGTAGCAGTCATTTCTGTTAATGCACAATTACGTTCTCATCTTCAAGTCAGAGATCTGGGATGCGCTGTATAGTTACCTTTTCTGGTTAATTCACTAAGGACAATTTTATTTTATTTTATTTTATTTTTTTTTAAAGTCCATATTGTAAAATATTGTGCCGGGTGTTATCAGTGTTAATGCAGTCAAATAAGGAGTTTTGGGAAGAGGTGGGACTGTGTTGTGTAGTAACTTTGCCAAGCTGTGGGTCTAAAGGGTGGAGAGAGGTCATTGCCACAGTCGTCTGTCCTCATGCAGAGATGTTTTCCAGTTCTTTCAGGAGCCATACTTCAGAATGGGCTTCTCCAGCAGCACCTCCAGAGCCTCGTGCTCCCAAACATCGTGGGTGAAGGGGGTCTGCTGAATGCGCCCATCAGCATCACTGGGTAAGCGGAGAGCAAGGGCTTCCTTGAGAATTTGCTTTGTCCAGCAAGTGAAGTGGTAAGAGCCAAGCTTCAGTTGTGGTGATTGGCCTGAGTTGTTATCCTCATATTTGATGTTGATACTGAAAATCTGGCCCCACAAGAGTTTTCCATGCGGTGGTAAGGTGGATGGTGATGTGCGTTGCAGGTGGTGGGTCCAGATGCAGAATGATGGCTCTGACACTACTATTGATATCTGAGATGCTTGAAAGCATTGAAAGAGGATCCAACAGAGAGAAAAAACTGGCCACTCAAAAAAAAAAAAAATAAAAAAAATAAAAGTGGCTTCCATCTCAATCTGATTCTAGGACTCAGAAGAATTGTCTTCTTTTGGACTTCAGCTCCAGACTCTGTATCTCATCCTGGAGCTGCTATTTCTTGCTTGAATACCCATGCATCTAGCTGGAAGTGGCCGTGCTGATGTGGGCGCTGTAGGTTCCTCAGTGCGTGAAGCTGCTTAGCTGTTATAAGACACTTTTACTTTGTCACAATTTTTGTTGTTGTTCTGCAGACTGCACCTTCTCAAGGCTCAGTTCCCCGAGCTGTCAGTGATGCTGCTGCCTGGAATCGGGGTCCAGATGACTATTGCTGCAAAGCTAGAGCTCAGAGGCAACAGGTGAGTGTTCTGTTTCATGGCATTTGTTAAAGGAATCCCCTATCCACAGGCTTCCTGTTAAATGATATTTTGCATCTTTTATGGATTTCTAAATGTTTATTACTTATCATAAAGTCACACAGTGGAACAGGCACAAAGGGTGGCTTGTGGTTTTTGTAATGAATTACAGTAGATGAAGGTGCTGTTCGTTGCTACTGGCTTTGCTGATATTCTCTTTAGAGGCTGAGAGATTAAATCCGTTTAACTCGTTTAATTTTTCAGCTTGATTGGTCTTCTCTCGGAAATAATTAATATTTTAGTGGACGTGACCATTACTGCAAACATTAAATGCACGAATTATGAATCAGGTACCGTCCAAGTTGTCATTGAAGACTGCCTCTGTGTTTTTGGTGCCGTAAAGATAAAGCTACTTTCTGGGTAAGTGCCTGTGGATTTATATTTTCCATTGCTGGCAATCCCCTACTCTTTATCCAATAATAAAACTGTCTGCCAGGACTCAGACAGTGCTAAGCTGATGTAGAGCCAGGCCTCAGTAGAATGAATTTCCTTTCCATTGCCAAAACCAGTTGCTTCAGTGGAAGATGGAAAAAAAAAAAATGCTGTTGGAAAATGTGCAATAATCTGCCCTGCTTGCCCAGGAAACCTTACCTGAATGAGAGACCTTAAGTATGAGGTTAAATATCTCTTCCAATGCACTTTCTTTAGAATTAGCTAATGAATTGATATGTCAGGGGTAGGAATAATAGGGCAGGGAGAGTGTTCTGGGGAGAAGAGCACCATTTACTCATCATGTTTTTGTACTCGCTCTTTGGCTGCTGTCAAAAAAAGATGCTGAGTATATGGACTTTTGCTCTGACCTCTGTGGCAATGTATAATTCCGTGCAAATGTCCCATCTCTTGCTCGATCTTACTAAATTCTTGGCGTTGCTGACTTCTTATGTTGATGAATCCAGCAGGTAAATTGATCATTGTGGAAAATTTCCTTTTATTGGTTTTGAATTATGTACTTTTCAGTTTCCTGGAATTTCTCCTAATTAGGTTTTGCACCAGAATTATGCATTGTATTTTAATCTGTGCAGTAGCTGATTTGAAAGATTCTCTGTAAATGGCCAGAGGAACACAGCTCACCCACTCTGGGGGCCGTATTTTAAGCTCTCGTAGAGTTAAAGTGACTGTGCACGGGAAATGAGCTCTTTGTGGGGTAACAGTGGGCGTATATATACACGGTTTACTTCACAGCATTTCCTTAGATGCATCTATAGACAGAATTCTGCCATAAATAATGAGAAAGATTATGAATTCCTACTGTTTGTGGCTTGCAGAATACGCTGCTCTATGTTCTAACTCAATAGCCCAGAAATATAGTGATTATCAAAACTAAATGGCTCTGTGCTGCCTGCAGGGAGCAGGTAGCCCGGAGTGATCTATTTAGCAGCAGTGTTGAAACATTACATAGCAGATTTCTTCTCTTGTTAGTTCACATGTAAGTTGTTTGTTTCCCATAACTAACATGGTGATGTTTCACAATAACTTCTCCTTCCCTTAACCACAACCCTGATTTAAATACCAGAGTGAGAAGACCAGACTCAGGCAACACTGTGAGACGCTCATCCCTTTCGTACCATAGTGTCTACGCCCCTTGAGTGCTGAAGCATTCACTTATCAGAAATGAGCCAACTTCTCCCCTCCTTGGGACTAGCAATTCACTACCCTCCCTGCCTTCTGCACGCCCTATTCTCTTTCCAGGGTTGGTTGCAGCATTGTCCCTGAAGGGATGGTAAAAGATACAGCAGTATGTAAAACAAAGGTTAGAGATCCTTTGGTCTCCTGGCCTGGAGCTCTGTTTGTAATGATTGGGAGTTGCTTGGGCTCTCATACATTCTTCTCTTTTTCTTGCAGCTTACTGTCCCTATCAGTAAATGACTTAGTGCATAATCAGTTGACAGCAGCTCTGCCTCGTTTGGTAAGCCCACAGATTGCCATCTTTTTATAGCTGAAAAGCAGAAATATCAGGAACAACATGTTACAGTGCTGAAGCGAACAGCATGATCTTTCTGCGTTGCCTTCTCGTGTTATTAGTGTAATGCACCATGTTGCAGGGGGCAGTGGGCAGTCTGGTCATGGCTGGAGTGCTTCTCCCCACAGAGCGATGCCTTAAATATTGCTCAGATTGAAGCAGTCCCCTTAGATGCAGTTCGCAACCCCAGGGGTCCTTCACTGTTTCCAAATCCTTCAGAAAGACCCTGCTGCCATAATGCCATGAAGCACTTTTTCCCTGAGGATTTAGGTTAAAGTGAGTGGGTCTGCTCAGGTTATGTGGTGGCACTCACTGCTGGTGGGTGGAGAAGGATGGCTGAGTGATCGCATTTCTGTTTTGTGTTGCAGCTGTGTTCTGTGATCAATATAGTCATCAATCTTGTGAACATCCAGCTCTTAGGCACTCTCAATGGTATGTTTCTTGTGGAAGCTCCGGTATTCCTTCTCCGCATTCCTCTACAATCCCATGATGGGAGGTGCTCTTTTCCCTGACTACTCCATAAGGTCCATCAGGGGAGATGTCACTTTTGCAGTTTCCTAAACACCGTTGAATGCAAAGCTAAGTTCAGATGTGTTACCTGCAGTGGTTCAAATTATGTATTAGTAAATGGATTGACAAGGTTCCTGGGAGGGATGGGGATGGGGGAGAGGAGAGAGGATCTGGAGTCATTGGTGAAAGCTGGAAAAGGACTAGATTAGAGGCTGTAGTAGTTTCTGTTCTTGCAGCCTTCATGTAAATTGTTTTTCTTACTGCAACCTTTTCAGCTCCCTGGCTTGTATCTTAGGGATTGTCTGTACAGAGCGTTCACTGGGAGTAAGCTCTAGATTTGGCAGTGTACTGCATCCCAGAACAGCCCTGCCCTTTGTGGGCGTTCAGATCTGTAAATGGGTAGGTAAAGAGGCCCAAGATACTCATGTTCCAGACTAAATCTCTGTCCACTGAATATATAAGAATATTTTTCAACGTTGAATTCACACCTAAACAGTCCCAGTGAACTACTCACACATTGATCTTCCTTATTCCGTTTTTACATATTATCCTTGAATTTAGCTAACTATCTTTGGCACTTTTTTGAGGACTACGCTCTAAACGCATATCCCACAAGACTTAATGTTCTGCCTGTTTTTGAGTAGCAACGTTTTTGCAGAGCATCCCGTGAAAGTGAATGCTTGAGATCTGCTTGTGGGTGTGAGGCCTGGGTGGTGACCTGAGGGATCACAGAAGGCGTTTGTGTTCCTTTTTATTTCCTAATGTTTTATTGCTCGTTTTTTCTCTGAAGCCGTGGTCCCAGTTGGTACAACAGGAACGATTCAATATCAGCTCGCCAGCCTTCCATTTACATCTGGCTTGTTCCTTGGGTTGGATTTAGATGTAAGTTAAATATTCGGTAACAAAGCCTTGAGAGTTTGATTGTAGCATAGTTTCTTTCAGCACTATTTACCTTAATCCCCTAGGGAGAATGTCTTATTTCAGTACAACCAAATAGAAGAGCTAGATGAGCGATGCAAATGCTAGCTAAATATTTAGGCCCTGATGCAAATCCACCACTAAGTGACTTCGCATGCTTTTCTTCAAGCCTTCACTGCTGTTCACAAACTTATCCTGAGACAACCTGTGCATCTGTTATTTGTAACTGTTCCATGGGACAAGCAGTTTTCACCCTCTCCTTTTCGCTGCCTGCGTACTATTTATTGTTGCTTTTTGCCTTCACAGTTCAGTCTCTGTGGTATGTGAACGCTAAAGCAAGTTAAAGCATGTATTTGTTACTACTGTCTCACTGGAAAGCAAACAAACAAAAAGAAACCTCCAAAACAAAAAACAAAAAATCCCAAACCCCTTTTCAAACAGGCAAGCTTAAATAGTTAAAACTGAATAACTAACAAGGAGTAATTGGGAATAAGCAATAAGGAATAGCATAGGCTAAATAACAAATGCTACAGTCTGTAAAAATCAGCTCTACTTCATTCTTTAGCGCAGGCACTTTGTAGGGGTTAGTTTTTGCCCCCCACAATGATGGTCAGAGCTGGTCTCCTTAGTGAATTGATGCTATCAGTACAGGTTTATTGTAGAGACAGAGCAATGGTTCATGCTTGGCTGAATGCTGGAGAAGAGGAAAGGCAGTGTTATGACCTCTCTGCTGGCAGTGTCTTCACCTCTCATTTGCTTTTGGAGTGAAATTTCAAGGATGAAATGAGGCAGTGAGATAGTGGTTTGGACAGGGTGAGTTCATTAGCTAAGAAGGCCTCAGTTATGCACTCTGGTCTTTATCAGCTCTTTTCATGTATTAAATATAGAGAGAACTTCTCTGAGTTCATTGCTTTCCCTGAGATCTTAAAGAGGGGATGGCTGTTTCAGCTGGTATAAGCCCAGCAGTCTCTGTCTTGAGGATCTGAGCAGGCCTCATGGCTTTGTGTAGGATCAGTTTGAAGGCTCTATCATCTCTTTGCAGGGTGTAGTGCAACAGATGGGAGGCAGCATCATCCCTCATGACTCATCCTCCTCTGCTTTGCCTCCTCTTCTGGACAAGCTTCTTCTCTTGGGACTGCGCCAGAGCTTTCTCAATGCAGTCCTGTCCCTCCTGATCCAGGGGCAGCCTCAGATGTTTACCTGCGTGCCAGAAAACGTGAGTACAGCCGTGTCTGAGCTGCATGCTAGGGGAAACGAGGAGGATACATATCCATCTGACCTTAGCTCTGCTGAGGTAGCAAGCTGTGGCATGGGTTTTGTCCTGTGCTAACATGTGACATTTGGCCTTTCTGAGGACCTGAGTCTGTACTTTTCTCACTTGTACGTGCTAAAGCCCCAGCACATCTTTACTGCTCTTTTCACAAATCTGTACTAGTGAATGCAATCATTAGCTTTTCTTATTTCCACATGGACATGCCCAGAGATACCTTTTGAAACTAGTTGTGTACTGGTTACGTCATTGGCTCTTGGTGGTCTGCACTCCATTTCAAAATGTCACTGAGAAAAGCAACTTCATACATGCAGTACAATCCTTGACACATGTGCGTCTTCTGTATCTCTAGTCTGTACTTCCACTGGAAAATATTAGGGGTCTATACCTTGAAAAATGTCAAACACCTCTAGATTATATCTTCTGCTGCTGCTGGTTATTCTTGCCTCACCTTAACAACCACCTGAGAATCACCTGAGCAGCTGTGGAGCAGTTGAAAAGGCTGAGGCCTTAGATAATGGCAAGTGCTGCCGTAACATAGGTCTATGCGTGACTGAACTGCCCTGGACTTCACTGGGGACAATGAATGAATGAGGCCTCTGGGACTGGCCCCAAGAATGTGAAAAAACTGGCTGAAAATGGAGACACAAATGCAGAGGAGTGGCTCCTGGCAGGAGGGGTATTGCTGTAATCCATTGAGAGCACTGATTTTGGCTGTTTGCACTTTTGTTCCAACAGTTCTCTGGTGCCAACCAGCTGAAAGAAGCCGTCATGGCCGCCCTTCCTGCTGGGGTGAGTGAATTTCACTGGTGTGAGGGTTTGCGTAAACATTACCAGGGTCTGAGTCCATCCAAGTGAAGCCACCTGCATGTGCTGGGGTGCTGCCACTGAAGGTCTCTGGTGTTGTGTTCCCCTCCTCTTGGCCATGTCAAACGCACACTGTGGCCAAGCCACGTCAGTACAACCCAAGGCTGCCTTCCTTAAAGGCCTGCTGACATGAATGAATGAAGGAGCTTGTATGACCTATGCTTCCAACCAGCTGCCTTGAGTGCAGGCTGTGGGCTGTCTGCAGCCTCTGCTCAGCATATGTGCTCTCTTGTGGGGCGCTTGGTTTGTAGCCAGTTTTCTCCCATTTCCTAAGCAAACGAAAAGTCTTTCCTCTTAGCTTGCAATTGTTGGCATAAACAGCTAATAAATGCCTTGCATCTCCCATTTCCTGGGCCTGCTGCCAGGCACCATGGACACCCCCATATGGCCACAGCCCTCTTAGAGAGTGTCTGCCTTTGCTTCTTCAGTCTGTTACTGTCAAAAGCAGAGTGCTGACCTTTGCTGCTGGGTTTACAGGAACATGCAGAGATAGTACTAGCCAGTCAATCAGCAAGTTTGCAGCCTGCTGTGAGAGCCTTGAGGTTTAACTTACCTCTCTTATCTAGGATTTATTTTACATTTTTCTCCATGCTGCTAAAATTACCTGCACTCTTCTGAAAAATTCCTTTTTGTTCTGTAAATTTGGGGAATGTTAGTCCAAAATCTGTGCACCTCCAAAGGAGGCCCTAAAGAGTTATGGGGTTATGTGAGTCCACCTGCAGACTGTTGATCCTCTCATGCTGAGCTTTAGGTTCTGCTGGGCAGGTGTGTCAGTGCACAAGGGTAGCCAGCTCTGTGTCTCTCCAATTCCTGCAGTGTTCCAGCTGTCCTAGGACCGGTCCTCTGAACATTAAGATAACGTTGTCTGGGAACCCACTTATTTCCTTGGAAGTAAACAAAGCCACTCTCAAGCTTTCTGTCATGATTCAGCTGTTCATTGAGCATTTAGATGGATCTGTCCTAAATCTTCTGCTCCTGAAGGCAGTAAGTATTAATGTAAAGACCTCAAACTGGTGCAGTGCGCAGCTAGCTAAGTGACTGGCACCTGGGAGGAGGGTATCTCTGCCGGCTAATCCTCTCACTGTCTGGTTGCAGGACCTTGGTCTAAATGTCCGTGTTTCAATTACTGAAAGCAGACTGCTGCTCGCAGTGTCCCTGAGCAGGTAATCTATCTCCATAGTGGTTATATGGGAGTACTGAAAGCAGTCTGCCACAAGTGCCTAATGCCACTCACTCTCTTGAATTAGTCCTGGGTTTTCAACAGTGCTGAGAACCTTCAGCTTTCCTGGAGCTTGAGAAGCAGATGCTCAGTTTTCTGGGAACCAGTGGCCAGGAGAGCACTGGATAAAGGGAAGGATCTCAGTTTATTAGGGACGCTACAAATGCCAACGGCAGTACTCCTCTGTGACAGAATGGCAGTGGCAGAAATATCTGCATTAAGGGAGAAGCAATAGGACCGTTACATAAACACGTCCGTGAAAAAGGCAGACGGTGCAGCCCTATTAAACGCTGATGAAATTCTCTCCATTGCAATATTAATGCAGCAAGTGCTAACTTAAAATATTTTTCAACGTCTGTGAACTCCAGATTTCCTGAATCTAAGAATTTTCTATCTGGCTCTTGTAATGAGGTGGACGGGTACTGCTCGTTTTCAAAAGCATTGCAGCAGTGGGAGACTTTTGAGGAGACTCGAAGACCAAACCAACTCTGTGTTGGTTTTATAACAAGGAGAAATGAGATAACCTGAATAACTGTAAAACTGACAGTTTGACTTTGATCCTGGGCAGTACTTTGACGTGTCTGATATTGGACATGAGTGATAAAGGAATAAAGGAAAGTACTATCATTAATGACAGTCAAGGTATGATTAAAGATTGTAGAGCATTTCTTATAGTGTGAGGTTCAAGGAATTCAAGCCATTTAGCTTGTCAAAGAGCTAGATTTAGAAGCAACATTGGCATAGCTTGTATGCAATGATACAGAGAATAGAAACGCATCAAAGGGCTCTTTAATTCAATAGACAAAGATATAACAAGATTCAATGGAAGTAGAAAGGAGAAATCAAAGTGGAAATAAAGCACATGTTTTAACTGTGGTGATAGTTATGTGATTGAAATGATAGATTAGGGGCTGTAGCAAATTCTCCAGAGCTTATGATCTTTAAATCTGGAGTGGATGCTTTTTCTAGAAGCTCTGCTCTTGGCCAAACAGGTGCTGATTCTGGATGAAGCTGTGTGGCCTGGGCTAAGGAGAATAGAGTCAGTCACTTATTTCTGAGCTTTTCTAAGTTGAGTGACTTCCTGGCCATGGGAGAAGGAAGGACAATCAGGCAACTAGTGTGCACTGCTGCAATGTTGCTTTATTTACAAGCCAATAACAACTAGGTTAAACTTTTAATGTTGATTTATTGCTTTTATTTTCCTGGATTTCTTGTTCTCTTGCAAGTGTGGGAGTGTCTGCTGCTTCTGTTAAAATACTGCAGTCCCTTTGTGGATGCCTGGATGATGTCTTACAGGTGTCCCTGGGCTGGGGGTTGAGGTGGTCACCTGAGCTAGGTGATCGCAATGGTCTTACAATAGGGATCTAGGATATGCAAGCTCTGGCCAGATGACTAGGTGTCTGAAGTTCTGTTTACTTTCCTTTTCTGCAGCACTACCTTCTCCTTGGAGTCTTCTGATGTTGGCATCAGTAATGTAAGTCTCTTTTTACCAAACAAATCTTAGTTCATGGTTAGAGTGTCCAAGTGCTGCGCACTGCAGTTCTGGGGAAGGAGAGAAACACAATGTCATTGTGTGATGTTACAAACGTCCTGGTTGTGATAGATTCTGTCTGCTGAGGATCTTAGTTGTTAGCTGTTAGACTTTGTAGCAATTCTTTTGCTGCCTTTTTTTTTTTTTTTTGGCTTTTGCCTTTTCTAATAATGCAAATGTAAAGGCTAAAGTCTGTTCAGTGTTTATTCACCCCTACTTTGGCAAAGATTACACTGAATTGCAATATGAGTTTTACCTGGTAGAAGGATTCCCAAAGGAAGCACCAAATACAAATTGAGGAAGAAAAGTAGATTTGCTTCAGAGTAAACAGGGAGTATTTGTTCTTTTACTGTGTTAGTAGGAAGTTATTTCCAGTCCTTAGGATTGGCTGTCTTCCAGCCACAGTGCTTACTGCTGTCGTGTGCCTGGCAGACCTCTCATTGTGTTGTTCCTTCTCTGGTTCAGATCTCGAGTCTCAAGCCACACTGCAGTAATGTTCTGGTGGAAAAGTTATTGCCACTTGTCAATGGTAAGGTGATTAAAATAGCTGTAAAACTTAGAGTACTTTGACTGAGTCCTGGAGGAGGAGGGGAAGGGGTACATGTGCACGTTTGGAAGTTGTAGTGACACTCCAGTTCTCTTGCTGAAGTGATTAAAGGTCTGTAATCCCTGTTTGGGGGCTGTAGTTAAAAGCCCCAGCCCAGCCTTTTAGTCTTACATCTACTCCAGTGTGAGTCCTTAGGGCCCTGGCAACAACTACTGCTAGAGAACATAAGGAAAGCCAAAGTATGTTGTGAGCAGTGATGCTCTGAGTCACTCTTGCCTCTTGAGAAGCTCTGTTCCCTTCGTCCTCCCTGGGACCAACGGTTGCAATTTGGGGAGTTAGGTGGAACAACAGCATGCATCCTTCCCACTGTGTATAAGGACTAATCTGTTCCCTGCAGGTTTTCTGAGCATTGGAATCCCCCTACCAAATGTGCTGGGCATTCAGTTAATAAACGCAGATATTCAAATATTAGCGGTAAGTGTTTGGAAAAGCTCTTTCCTCCTGCAAGGCACCAGTGAAGGTCATGGGGGTTATATCTAGCACATGGCTCTTGCAATAGGACCCTGCCCAGTGGCATTTTAGTGTGCAGGAGCCGTAGATTTTAAGCCTAGAAGTTCAAGAAAGGATTTTGCCATCAGAAAATGCTGCTGAGTACTTCCTGCCCATGCACATTATCAAACAAGGTACAAAGTGAGCCATGTTCAGCCGTTCTCGGGGTAGATCCTGATTTCCCCTGTCCAGACTGTCTGTCTTTTCTTGAGAACTCGCTGAGCAATTCTGATCAGTGCTGCTGATGTTGGTCCATGGAGTTTGGCACGTCCTTTCGAGTGGCACTGTTCAAAGTGTCTTGAATCATACCAAGTCCCAGCCCTCTGCATCCTGGTGATGTCCCAGAGGGGCTGGGATATTTTCTAACGCTTTCTGAACGATGTTGCACCCTCCTTTTTATAAGCTTAATGTGAGAATTTTTGTAAGAGTGTTTCCTCCTCGCTATAGGTTGCTGACAGCATGTCACTGCTGAAGGACGTTGGTTCACAACAGCTTTAAAGTCAGGAAATAGCTTACATGTGTCACTTTTTGCACTTCTTCAGGGCCTGTTGGTAATTCTTGTGTGAACTGGGGAGTACAAGGCATGGAGAGGTCTTTCTGATTATACCACTGGGCAGAAAAAGAGGAAGAAAGACCAGCAAGGATGAAGCATCAAGACTGGCGTTATCTTCTTTCCTTTTCTAAAATTGATTCAAGATTCTTGGTCGCATTTTAAGGCACTTTAAATCTAATTGGCTCACGTGAGTACTAAGATACTTGCATAAGCCAAAAACAGATGGGCAGCTTGGTGTACAGATATTTAATTTGGTGGATTAGCATAATTTAGAGGGCTCGGTTATAGCAATTTTATGTGATGCTGCAGTTGAATGGTTAAATTCCTTGAAAAATTTGTTCCTAAGGGAAAAATGTTCTTAATATAATGAAAGAGTCAACTTGTTGCATGTGGCTTTCCAAGTAAATGTCACCATCCATGTTCAGAAGAATATAAAGTTCTGAGCAGGAGGCTCAGGAAATATTTTTCATGCAACTTTTTAATAAACATTCCTACTTTTTTAGTGCCTGAAATGAGGTTCTTGTTTCTAATACTTTTCAAGGCAGAGTACCTGTCCTACCTCCTGCTATGGGATTTGGTTGCTCTGTGGCAGTTGATGTTTTGGTATTTGATTTGAAAACTTATTCCACCTAAACTTCCTGAGGAAAAAGCACATGATTTTCAGTAGCTCCTTCTGGCTAGGTAACTGATTGTATTCTTGCTGAACAGCTGCTAATCCACAAACAGAAATTAGGAGGAAATTGAATTTCAAAAGATGATGAAGCATTTCCTAATAGCATCCGAGAGGAAAACACTGATAATAGAGAAGATAATAGAGAAGTATGATAACACTGGAGAATGCTCATCTGCATGCAGTAGTCCATGTTTACTTAGACTAATATAATAGTCAGTTGATCTCTGCACATCGTGGAGAAAAGAAATCAGACATTTTTTTATTTCAGACAAAGAAATGTTTTTAGGTAGAAAACATTAGAGGTCTTAAATCTCTCAACCCCCGTCCCCTTTTTACTCCCTGGCAGTAGATGTTGTTACTAGCTTATTAGTTATTACTAGCTTTCCCAGAGCTAATGGAAGTATGTCACTGTTAAAGCATGGGTGATGGATGGATGAATTTTACCACTGATTATATGGAAGGTGAGGGCAATATCCTTTTCTGCCTTTCCATTTAAAGGTAAGCATAGCTAAATATCTGCATGGCCAAGCCCTTGGTTCTCAGCAGCATTACATTGGGATGTTGCAGAGAGGAGTCCTCAGACACGTTTTAGCTCCTTCTTACCCAATGCAGTCGAACACACCGGACCCTTTAGCTGTCCCAATTAATGCAACAGACCTTTTCTTGTGCTGTGTTACATGTCAAATCTGCCTCATCACATGGCTTGTCATGTCTTGTGTAACTATGAAAGTCTTTCAGGTGGATGAAAGTCGACAGCCACACTGAAGACCAACATCTCAGCAAATCCGAAGGGCTTCTCTGCTTGCTAAGCCATCTGTGGTGTGCAGGCTGATGTGCACCTGGTGGGACCGTGCTTTCCAAAGGCCTTTCACCTGCTGATAACACGGACCGTACTCAGTCCCAGGGTGGAGAAACTGCACTCTTGTGTAGTGACGTCAAAGGGAATTCCCTCTCGAGCAACGTGCTGAGTGGCAGTCTTGTTGCAAGCTAAACCAAGCAGGGTGAAAAGTTTCTGAGGCTGGATGTAAGCAACAGGGAACGACATGGGTGATAGTGTGGTACTAATGAGCAAGGAGAAAACCTCAGGCACCTCTCCTTTTGCCCTCTGATGCCTGGTACGCCTTCAGGGCTGGTGGTGGGGTTTCTGGTCAATGTGACGGGGGTTATGTGGCTCACGCTAACCAGCGGGCAGAATTATCAGCTGTGCAGCCCTGGTGACACCTGGGCAGCCAGATAGGCAATTAGAACTCTACTAGCAACTTCGCTATCTGGGGATTACTAGGCTGATCTGGCAATCTGAAGCATGTGAGCTTGGCCTCCTCATCCATTATTGCAGGAAGGGATTTGTTTATATGAAGAAGGTTTTGTCCTGGTTCCAAAGCAAACACCTATTGTACAGTAAGTAAAGTTTAGCACCTCTTTTGCACGCTCTTTTAGCAAGCACTTCTGTGTACTTTCTGGTTTGTGGGAGTGGAGGGATTAATTTTGTTGGCATACTAGCAGAATAATCTCTGATCTGTCACCATCCCAGAGTGTCACCATCCCCTGTTTGACTTGAGAAAGAAAATACAGCTGGAAGGGTGTAATTAGAGAGTATGCTTTCTCAGAGTTGGGGGCAGGAGTGCGTGAGCCTGTGGAATCCTGAAGAGAACTGGGAAGCCTTCTTGTATATATCTGAAAGCAGCATTTCCTTTTGGGGCCTGGAGTTTCTTGTGTCATTTATAGCACCAGGTTGAACAGGAAGGAGCAAAGGAACCTTTTCCAAAGAAAGAGGCAGCCATCCCTTAGTGTAACAAGTAATTTTTGTAACCTGTAAATCTCATACTGTGACTAGTGGGACGAGGAATAAATCTAGAGCAGTACACTGTAAGTCAAAATTCATAAAACCCGGATCCTGTCAGTGGTGAAAAAGACAATTAAATGCGCCTTTTGCAGTGTGTCAGCACCTCCTTGGGCTGGATGAAGAGTTTAGGCTGAGGAACCTGTGTTATGCTAGAACGGATGATCTTGATTTCCTGAAAAGGACTTCTGCTTGTCGAGAAGGTGTTTTGTGTCCATTAATAATTGTGCTTTATCACAGGTCTTGTTGCTTGGATGCTGCTACATCCTGCCCATTGTCTTCTGGTTGACTGGCACCGTTGCCCTGGGTGCTGTGGAGTCCAGAAGGAAGAAGGAATGGATGAAGAAGTGTGCTTTGAGCATTTTACTTTGTGTCCTAATCCGATCTCATGGGATCACCCCTTCAATAATTGTGAGTCCATCAAGGGGCTCTAGTCTATCAGAACTAAAGCTTCCCTCTGCCTGTTGCAAATCAGGGGTAAATTACCCTTAATGTATAATGCATGCCAGCTAATCATCAGGCTTGGTCCACACAATTTTCTTTCTGTACTATTGAGCTAAGTACTTGGAACAGCTTGCTAGCTCTGTCCTCTGATTAGCTGACATTATGGAAATAACTGCCTAGCTGTACTTTGACATCTGCTCAGTGTTGGTCCAGAGCAAATAGTGGAAAACCATAGACCTTAGGGTCCATGTTTGGGAAGGTGAGTTTCGGGTTTGACTTGTCACCATTTGTTACTTACTTTGGGCAGCTTGTGGGTAATTAGGAGCAAGCTCTCTAATCACAGTGCTTTTCCTGTGATCTCTTGTGAAGAAGAAAATTCACTCTGGGAGCTTGCTATTCACTCCTTCTTAGTTCATACTTCTCTTTCTGTAAAAGACACGTAGTTGGTGATACAGCCCCATGTAACTTAGGCTATGAGTGACAGAGGAGGAAAATGGAGTAGTTTACAAGTGTCCCATTGTCTGGAAGTGGTAAGCTGAATTTTCACCTAACCCAAGTGGCATAGCTCCAAGGAAATCCATGGAGCTAGGCTGAGTTATAATTACTGAGGATCTGTCCTGAGAGCTTGGCAAATTTCTGTGGGTAATTCGTATATCTGAAGAAACTGGAATCTGTATGCAAATCATTTTCTGCCTGAAAATGAGAATGAATTTCTGGTAAATGTTCTTTTCCAGTGAATAATGTGACCAGGGTGTGAAGGGCTGACTCTGCTCTGCCTGGGCTGTGCAAGAGACAAAGGGCTGCTCCAGCTATTCCTCCAGAAACATCCTTGAAAACGATTCATATTTTTGCAACCTTGCTCTCGAGGAGGGCTCTACCAGGGAAGGCTGGGATGGTGGTTTTGGCCAGGGAAGACTTCTAGGATCAGTTTTGAAGGTGACAGTCAAGCCCTGGCAGGAGCTGAGGCTTGGGCTGCACCCTGGGCAGAGGTGAGGTGAAGCCCGGGTGTCTCTGGCATCCTACTGGGAAGGAGGGCTTCCAAGAAGCATGCTGCTCAGATGTGGGCACCCTGGCATGGGGTGGGGAGCTGCCAGCCGGTATCACTGTGCTCTTCTGCGAAATTTCTTCCGTGGAGGCTGGATGAAGGATCTCACCTCTTTTCTTTTTCTCTGGTGTTTGAAACATTTAGCTGTTATATGACATACTATGTGCATTATTAAGTTAAGGGAAGCTTTGCATTGCTAAGTGAATCTTCCTGCTGGAATTTTGGCTACTATGCACGAAAATTAAGGATATTGTTTATGCCAGAAACACTAATACAAATGCTTTTTTACAGCTCCCCCCCCCCCCCCCCAAGTGCCAAAGGGGCTCCCTGAATCGAGTGACGTGAGGGAGAAGCAGAGCTGCCAGTCCTTCAAAATAAAATAGGTCTGCTTCTGAGGCTGTTGCTGATCTTCAGGTACGACTTGTGTGGGCATAGCTGTGGGGATAGGAGTTTGGATATTCAGCTCCTGTGAACCCAGCCAGATATTGAAGATGCAGAACACCGTGGTTAAGCCTAAAGCCAGAACATCCTCTGGCAAATAAATAAATCTTTTTGCTACTGTAGCTTATTGCTTCTGTGAATCTGGTTTAAGATTTATTAGCCAAAGAATAATGGTTATAGCTCTACCAGCAAACTTTATTAGGAACAGTTCCTGCTATTGCCAACTTTGGGCATTAAAATCATTAGTCAGGTCCCCAAGCTGGGTATATAAACCTTCAGTTTTTTCTTCTCCTTGTAATAAATCAGCTTGGCTTGTTTTGTTTGCTTTCCTATTCCTGAGCCTTTGAAATATGAGGTTTTCAAGTGCTTTTCAGCAGCTCCAGGGGCTAGAAATGACATGCATAATTGTTGTAAGTGAAAGCAGATGTACATGTAATTAATATGGTTTCATGGGCTGGGATATTAAGTGAGAGATCACCATCATAGTGCTCCGGAAAAATACAGCGTTTAGCAACAATGGTGCTCTTCCTGGGCGTCAACACAGCAATGAAATTATCCTGAATGTCTGGAGAAAGTGGCCAATAGCATCCAATAATCGAATAAATCTTGCCACAACCTGATGTGCCCATGTGCTCCCCAGCCATGCCTCTGCCTTGCTCTAAAGCTGCCTTATCATCCCAAGGTTCAGTTTTGGACACTGAGGTCTATTTGTGTTTTCAGTCTCTTTTTTTTTTTCTTTTAGTTTGCTGAACAACCTCTTGAGTCCACTGCAGAGACGTGTTTGGGCCTTTTGGTCAGTACGGTAGCCAGTGAAGCCACTGAAGCCAGTGACAAATGCACCTACTTGCTCCCCTCTGGTGCTCAAACATGCAGAACCTGGTGTGCAAATACCAGGTGTGCACATAACATTCATGTACTCATGTACAGTTGCATTTTGTTCAACACTTTCTCTGTATCTAAGCTTTGTCAAAACTATATTTTTTGAAAATATAATTGGCTTCAAGTCTGAAATTAGAAACCATTGTACAAATAGTGATTTTTTTTTTTCTGACCCAGTGAAAAACTAACCAACTGCCATGTTCCCATAGTAACACTGCTAGAAATGGAAGAAAAACAGATAAAATATTTCTTGTTAGTAGGTGCCGTGTACTTCTGCAGCTGAGAAGTATGGGGCTGTTTTACATCCTTATAAATCGGTGGAATTTTTATTCTCTCTCAATTAAATATGAGATCGGGACTCCTATACTGGTACCAGTCCTCAGCAAGGAGAAATTCATCTATCTTTAGGTGCAAAACACTGAGGGAACAAAAAGTCAGCAGTCATACCAGAAAATGCAATATTGAAGACAATTATTTAATTGAAGTATGGAACACGGGGAAAAAAAATTCCAACACTTTTTTTGCCCAATTCTGTGCAAAAAAAAAAATTCCAGCAGCAGAATTGGAAGAGAAGGTCACTAGTGCAATGCCATTATTATCCTAAATATGAGAAAGTGTTGTTTTAGTAAAGAAAGAAAAAGATTTTTGGCATTGCATGCAATAAGAAAACATAAAGCTTGATTTAAGAGTCTGTAGAACAATTTTGCCACTGTTTTTCTCCAGGCAGAACAAATTGGATGCCAGACTTCAGCCCATCGTGATCTACTCTCCCATTTTAGGCTGTAGCTTGAGGTTACATGGGATCAAGACATAGTCCTAAGTAGAGGAAGAAACAAGTGTTGAATGACATGCTTACATAGTTCATTTTGATCTACAGGCAGTATTCTCCCTGCAGGCCAGTGGTCCTTCTAATGTGCATTTTTTTGCTCATATTAGTGTGGTTAGAGAAGAAATCCTATCTGAAGCGATGAAGCTTGGTCTGTGAATGAACAGTACTAGAGGAGTAGGTTCAGATTTATTCTAGAGTCAGGAGATAAATGTAACCCCTAGATTCCCTGGGGCTGCAAGGAGTCTCAGGGAGACCTGGTCAGAAGGGGGCACCTTGAATTGGCTCATCAACCTGCCTCCCGCCTACTGCAGACTGTTCTATTGTGAGAGCTTAGCTGGGCTCAGCAGCTTCTCCCATAGACTGTCACCAAGCAGCGCCTCCTCCAGGCTGTTGGAGATCTATGGTAAAATCTCTTATCCCACCCGCCAGCTCCTTGGCCAGAGCCATGTGCGTGGAGGCTCTGTGTCTGACTCTGGAAGTGCCAACCCCCACAGTACTATCCCTCAGACCATCCTCACGGGTGACCTGGCAGGGGCATGGTTGGATCTGCCCTGAAGAGGGAATGCTTGCTGCTTGCTCCAAGGGAATTAAATCAAATACAGCAGGAAGCATTTTAAGTGTGTGGTTTTTTTTTTTACCTTGTGAATGATGACATTGACGTCAGTATAGATAAAGCTGGACACGTGTGGCAGGTATATTCCTTCACTCAGGACCGCTAGGAAAAAAGAGGAAAAATACCAGTTTCAGTGCTGCCTTCATTCTTGTTTCATGTTATTATCTGCCAGAACTTTATGGGACAGAAGTACTGCTCTCAGCAGTCTGGGTTGCCAGCCCCAAGCCCTGACAAGCAGTCACAGGTCCTCACCATTCATCTGAGCCAGTATCTCCTCACGAATTGTAGACAAAAATAATTCCTCTAGTAATGCAGCCTGCCAAAGGGAAAATCCACACACTGAACTCATTTATTGTATGACTCTAAAGCAAAAGGAGAGAGAGGCAGGGACAAACAAAGAGAAGAGGTCCAGGCTTTTACAGGCCCTGGTGCAAGGAGGTGGCACGGCTGTGCTCAGCAAGGCAGGGCCCAGCTCGAAGCTGGGCTGCAGCTAATTGGGCACCTACCGGCACAGGACCCACATCAGAGGCAGCCAGGCTGAGCTCAGCATCTCTGTAAAACAAACCAACAGCAGCTCAGAAGTTGCTTGGAGGCCTTTCGGACAGGTCACCAAAGCAGAATTTTCATCAGAGGATTAAGTTCATTAGTAAGAGGCAGCTTACACATGGCTCTGAACATGATGGCCAAGTTCAGTGCCGGGTCAACAGCTTCCTCTAGCTGTGCAGAACTGAACAGGCAAATGGAGCCTGGCTTTCCTCTTAGGCACAGCGACGAGGAGATAAGGAAGTCTTAGTCCCCAGGACCCTGATTTACCAGCTTGCTGAAGCATTTGTTGCCTTGCCTTCCCATGGTTAAGCCTGTGATTTGGCTAGGCCCCCTGCTGAAACAGGCAGGCTGCGCTGGCATGGATTTGAATGAACGTGCTGGGGCGCAGGATGCTGTATGGCTGCGGTCCAGAAGCGATGGGCACTGCCAGCTTCATCGGCAGCAGCAGGGGCTGTGACAGCCTGGCAGGTCTGAGCCCTGCTGGCTGCATGCTGTGTTTGTGAACGGGGTGGTGCAAGCGTATGCTTTCACCGATGGCTCTGTCCGTGTTGTGGCGGGAGCAGGCAGAGGTGATAGGTATTAGCACATATAGGTTGCTTGTTTATGCATATGCAATGTGCAGGGGGGAGTTGGAAGGAGAGGAATGCGGTTTCCATTTTTCTCTCTGAACTGGACTCTTACCGTTTTCCTTGGAATAGAGCTACCTCTACAATGTTCAAATTATAAAGGAAAAGAAATTCCCTGGGCTACTTTGCTTCTCCTTTCCTGTGCTGCTACTACTACTGGGGCATGTTCCCTTCCAAGGACTCAGCATATAACTGGATCCATTACTCTATCACTGCTGCAGAGATCATCATCTTTACATCGGTGACTCTAAAGAGGAGTCCTGCAGACATATCCTGCAAGTAGAGAAGAGATAACAGAATCACAATGTGAAGCAAAACATCCCATTTCAGCTTCGAATATTGGGGTGCAAGGAGCCTGTCTTGGTGTTACTACCTGCAACATGCATCTCCTGTCCTGTGCTATGCAACAGAGACAAATGCTGCTTGGGACTGTGAATGCTGTGACAGATGAAGGCTAAAATCAGCCCATTTGTAATGGCTGTAATCAGGCCAGATTCTTGGAGAAAAATGTGCTCTGCACCATGTGTAGCTGGGAAGGAGCCGTGGGTGGCGCATGCTGTGCTTGCATGGTTCACTTACCACGCTTACGCTCAGGAAGTTCTGGAAGGCCGGCGCGCCAACCCCAACGTGGACGGTGAGGAAGAGCTTCAGGGCTGCCTTGCCTTCTTCCAGCACCACCCGTGGTGAGCTCCTGAACGTGACTTTCAGCATCACGGGCAGGTCCCCTTGGAAAAGGGAGCCGATCTGCAGCAGAGGCCCAGAGGGGATTATTGTTGCGGGTCGCACTGTTCCCGTTCCTGTGCACTCGCTCCTGCAGCCCTCGCTCCTCGACCAGCGGAGCTGGGGCCAGGCGAGCTGGTGCTGTGCCTCTCAGGGTGGCAGGATGCGTAACGAACCTGGGTGATCTTCTGTGCCACAGTGGCAGTGGTCAATGGGCTCTGAAAGACAAAATACAGCTTGTTATCTGCCTGACAATTATTTGGAGCTGTTGTTTTGTGTTTCTGTGTTCTTTGCAGTCCCACGGACCCTGTGGTCAGGGCCGCACAGTTAGCACAGAGGCACCGGAGCACTCCCTGGGCGTCAGCGTGGGCCAGCAGTCGTGTCCTGGTTACTCATAACGGCAAGTCTTCGAGCACTGTTTGACCAGAAGTGTTTTCTGTCTGTCAGGGTCAGCTAAGGAGGCCGGGGTGGCACAGCGCAGCTGCCCCGTGTGCTCAGATGCAGCCTTGTTCCGTGCAGGTGGTGCGGCTCCTTCGGGTGATTCAAGGGGAGCAGAACAAGCTGCTGTCGCTCCAAATGCATGTTTTTTTTACTCCCTGCTTAGTCACTTGCTCTACTCACCAGGATGGTCATGTTGAAGGCTCCAACCTTTTCCAGGGCAGAGAAGAGGCTGGTGTAGTAGTGTTCAGATAAAGCCAGGGTGAGGTGAGAAGGACTGGAGCTCGCTGCCTCGGGCACGGTGAAAGGCACGGGGCTGACTGGAAGGGGCAGCACCATCCCTGCCAGGAGAGACGATGTTGGAGGAGTCTCGGGACCAGCAGTATTGTGCTCCCGCCGGCAGGACAGCCCGGGCCAGGGCAGAGGAGGGACGGAGCCCCTGGCGGGGAGCGCGGCCAGCTTGGGGCGACAGCTCAGCAAGGCGCTCTCGCGAACGAGGGTCCTGCCTTAGGCCCCGTCTTCGGCAGCGCTCGCTCGCAGCACTGGGAGCCGATCAGCAGCTCCAGAGCCAAACTCCTGTCATTCTGCATGGGCTCAGCAACCACTTGTTCAGAGGAAGGTAGGAGCTAAGTGGGCAAGAGGGTGGGATTAGGAGTGGGGCTTGCGTGGATGTTGGAAAGCAAACGCTTACTTGTAAAGACACAGTGATTCCTTGCTCGGAGATCATGGGTGCAGCCAGGGGCAGGTACTGGACCTGGCAGCTCGGAGTGACAGGGAACTGAGCTGCAAACCAAGCACAGAGATTCAGCGAAACGGAGGGGAGCAGTGATGGAAGATTGGGTCTGTGATGCTTCTGGACTCCCCAGATTAGCAGGGTCAGATGCAGAGAGGAAGAGCAGAAGAATTTGTTTTGCATGTTTTACTGCCCTCCGCCTCTCTCAACGTCTGGTGAATCTGAAATAGAAACGGGAGAGAGCGCTTGTCTGACAGCCGTCCCAGGCCATTGCTGGGAAGACGTGGGCAGAGCGGGACACTGGGCAGCCTCATTTATTTGTGTTACCAGCAATACTTCAGCTCCTGAGGACTCTGCTTTCCTTTCCTCTCAGTTTCCCTTCTAAGATGTAGAGTGAAGTGCTTGCCCAGGTGCCACGCTGCGGTCAGGCAGAGCGGCTCTGCCGAGCAGACAGCCTGTGGTCACCGAGCCGCCGCCGCTGCTGTGCCTGCTGTGAGGTGGGAGCCTGGGGCATTTCGTGACCTGCCTTCAAAATGAGCCCTGTAGCCATTTATCCATAGTGAGACTTGTGCTCACCTGTCAGAGACGCTAGTTGTTCGTTTGGTAAAATGAGCAATTTGGAGACTTCCAAGCAAATCTGTGGAATAAGGAACAAAACAAAATGAGAGGTGGTAGATGAATATTTGGGGGGGGGCGACACATCAGGCATCCACCAAACAGCCCCTGTGTTGGGCTCCAGTTTCCACACTGGCTGGGCTAAGCGCTACACAGAAGTTGCGCTCCTGTTTTTTCACCTCTATGGGTTGCTCTGCTCTTCCAGGTCAGATCTGCTTTTAGAGGAAAAATGGCAATGTTAAATTCTTCAAATGGCATCTGCTCCTTTTGGCCTTCTCCCTTGCAGGGAATGATGGGGAACATCTAGCAAAGACAGGTTTTGTAAGCACCAGATTCGCTAATGGTAACAAGCAGAACTGTATGGTTTTGTCGTCTTCTGTGTCATCTTTACAAACTTGATCTTACCTTATTGACATCAATCTCCTTGTCCACCTCCAAACTAGAAGACTTGCTGAATGAAAACAACAAAACGAAAGATGTTAGGTGAGAACGAACTCAGCCAGCTGTAAGGGAGTATCTTTTAATCTGACCTAACTAGCATCCTGAAACATTATTATGATTATGTTCTATAAATATTAAACTGTGAACCCTAATCATTTCATTACAGAACCCTAAAACACTGAAGAACTGTCATTGGACCTGCATTAAAAATGTTCATGCTACAGTGCTTAAAAAGATCTGTTTGCCTATTGGAAAATGAAACTCTGAAAATAGGAAAATAAATTTTAAAAACCCTGAAAACAGAATGAAGTTTCTGTCACAGAGATAAAGGATTTGCTTTAATCTTTATAAGCTTGTAGGGCATTGGTGGGTCAGTGGTCAAATCACCTTTATATGTGAAAATAGTTTTCTTCAGTTTCTTCTTTTACCCTTTTTACTCAGATCCCATACTTGCATGTCATCCCATATGTCTGAACAAATCAAAACTGTGGAATTGACCTTTCCAGCTCCTCAGTGCTCTGCATTTCTTCCATGCTGGGCTTGCAGGCAGAAGTTACCACCTCCAGGTTCCCTTCAGGATTCCTTTCCACATGGAGGTCTACTGGGATGGATAGTCTCACCACCTTGGAAGTTGAGCTATGCGAAGAGAAGAGACACAGATGGACTGGAGCACTGGGGCCTCCTGACTTGGGGCTGCTTCCGGTCCCGCTTGTTCCGGTCCAGCAGACCTGCCTGCTCCCATGTGCTGATTTCACTGGTTGGATTTGACTCCATTGCTCCACTTGGGAGCTGGAGGGTTTGGCTTTGCTTTGAGCCCCATGACCGGAGGTAAGGAACAGCGGATGAGCCATTTCCCCCATTGCAGCCGCGCAGTTCCTGGTACTCACGGGGAGACTATGACGCCAAGGTCTACATCGATGCTCAGCCGCAGCCCGGCATCAGGGATGAGTGACAGAGAGAGGTCGACAACTTTGACGGAGTCAATTTGGTTCCTGCTTGGGTGGAAATGAAGGTGTTAGGAGAATAGTGCAGAGAAATGTGCAATCCCTAGTTGCGCTTCCAATGGACAAACACCAGAAATCTGTGGGATGTGCACAGTGTATAAGTAAAACAGTCCCTCCGAGTGGCACCTGAGCTGCTGCTGTTAGACCTCAAACACCTCTTTGTCTTGGCCTAAGTAGCAGCTGTATAAAACATGCAGGTCTGGATAATAGGCCAGAGGGTGTGTCTCAGTCTTGGAGTCTAATCCAGGCCATCACCTAAAAAAAAAAACCAAGTTAGTAAATCCTATAGCCAGGCATGTCCTGTGCACTGCTACTGTGAATTCAAAAGAAAACTGGAGTTAATTTATTTTCCTACTAATAATACTTGTCCTGCTGCCCGTTTGCTCACATTTTTCCCTTTTTCTGTTTTAGTGCAATGCGTTTGCCCGATCTGAGCTCTTTTTAATTCAGTTTTCCTGCTTGGTTTAGTGGCTTAGGGTGAAACAGCTGCAATAAAATTTGTCAATTCTGCTGCCTAAAGAGGGGAGTCCCAGCTGCTCATCTTGAATCCCAGCGTTGCTTGGGTAAGAACGTAGTGCATCGTCTCTCCAGGAGCTCTTCTCTAAACTGGTATTTAAAATAGGCATGTTAATTTCCATGAGGATTTTTGCCATTGCTGGGGCCCTTTTGTAATGATAGTCAAAGTGTTCCAGTTAAACAGCAACATGAACTAGTGGGGTAATGGGAAAGCCTTGACAAGGCAGAGTCGTGGACTCACCTGGTGGGTTTCGGGGAACCAAGAAGCAGATCTGAGACTCTTGGGGCCATTAGGTCCTGCATTAGGATTGTCTCCGCATGCTGTTTTGAAACTTCAGCAACTGTGCAATAGGGCAGATATTTTATTAGACCTTCCTGAACTTGTGGTCTCATGGGCAGAGCAAGGACTGGGCTCTGTCCAGGTGACACATTTTTGTCTCTTATAAATCCTACTGTTACTAGCTATAGAAAAGGGATGATGAAAATGAGCTAATGAAAGGCATAAGTTAATGGTGGCAGTTGGGTCAAAAGTATGTGGTGAAGTATTTCATTTCCCGACTGAAAGAAGCTTCTGCCCCCCGCCCCCCCCCCCTACTAACAGTGAAGTTTGTGAGACACAGGGTCTGTACTTACTGTAACTCAATCCTGATGGGCTGAGTATCCCTCCGCAATCAGGTGACTTGGTGGCGAGAGCTGGCGCCAAGAGGCTCAGAACGATGCCCAGGGTGCAGATCTTCCCCATGCTGGTGCCTGGAAGAGGACGACACACACAGCAGCCTGGTCAGGGCGGCACGGCCTCGGCCTGGCAGGTTGAGGTGGGGAGCGAGAGGGTGGACCAGGACTCAAGTTCCCAGGTGGGGTTTGTGGTCCTGAGCTAGTCAATGGGGATTTCTCTCAAGCAAGGCAGTGTGCAGTGCTTGAAATAGTCATGGGTCCTCTGGTTCACCTCAAACTGAGCTTCCTTGCAGTTTATTTTCAGCTTTTGTTAAAAACAAAAATGCATCGCTCTCACGTAGTACCTGGGGACTTGAAGGCACTAAAAGAAGGCTCAGCCTTGAAAGCCTCCTGCAAGTATAAAAGCTGGAGTGTGTTTGCAGCAATATCATGCCCAATGAAGATTCTGTAACGGCCTACAACTGATATAAAAACCCATAAATAAACAATAATTAAAATTAGTTGAAAAAAAAGAAGTTATGGAGGACGCTGAGATGAAATAAAAAAAGTGAGAATGTTCTCTAACTCTCTGAAAACTTGTTGGAATTGTTTATAGTGCTCTTATAATGTAAAGAGAATAAGTCATTCGGAAAGTTTAATCTGAGTAAAAAAATATATGTATTTGTATCAGTCTTTGCAGAGAGAGGACTTCTGATCAAACTGACCCTTACAGAGATATACCAAAGGGAATACAAGCGATGCTTAGTTCTATCTATTCGTTTTATAAATGAATCTTTACCTTTTCTGGCCGATCTTCCCATTCTTCTTACTCGGTCTATGTCTTGCTGTGGCCACATCAAGGGATTGTGCATGCTTTATATATCTTCATAACCCAGAAATTGGCAGAGAGGGGTAGAAACCAGGAGGATATTTTGGGTGGAGACACTTTGTTTTATATACCATTTTTATTGTTTCCCCATATATTTGATTACATTGGCCATTGACCTAACAAGGTAAAATATTGAACAACAGGTGTTAGGGCAGGTTGCCTTTTATTGTGATGTTATTAAGCTGCACAAAGAAAGGTCTCTGGACGGAGGGTGCCAAGAAATCAAACATTGTTAGAAAGCGAACGTTGGTTTCTTTGCTCTACAGCCATGATTTCTTCTGACCACCCCGGAGGCAGCGTCTGTGCAACGGCCACACTAAGAAGAACGAGTCGCGTGGAGCTTCCTGCTAGGCAGCTCAAATCAGAAGTGCTGAGACTTGGACACCTAAGGCAGAAGGTGGTCTTGGAAATACAGCAAGGATGCGCTCCTGCAAGGCTATATGAACCGCTTGTTGCTTTTGCTCAGGCCCATTACCAGTCTGATAAGGCAACAGGAGTGTTTCCATTGAGTTCAGTGAGTTTTAAACCAGGCAGAAGGTCAGGCTTTTTGAAGGTATTGTCTCTAACCTCCAGAACAGCCACTTGTGATAATTCCTGCCTGCCTTTACCCCATTCCCAAGCAAAAGCCACTGGCAATATTTACAGTAACTGATAAAAAATGGTGGATTATGTTCACCCTCTTTGACACTGTAGGGACTATGAGCAGTGAAAGCATTCGTGGAAGGGATTAAGAGTCCTCTTCCTTCATGTGCTGTCTTCTCCCAAGCCAACCTGAAGCTGAGCCTTGAGAGAAAGAATGAATTTGGGACAAATAATGTGATTTGTATCATAGGCCTGACTGTTTTCTGCACTACAAGAACAGCATCCTGTTGCTGACTTTTGCTTTAGGGGTATTTTGCGCACTGCCCGTCTGCTGGCAGCCCCAAGCCCACTTTGTGTGTTATCCATGCTGACCAGACGTGGTGAGAAAGGGCACTATCACTCCACTGATCTCAGTCCCACTCAGCACTGGCCTCACTAGTTGAGGCTCAGCTTTGGGCCCACGTGTTCTCCTGGCTTCCTTTTGGCTTGGAGAATGGAGCATAGACTGTCTGCAAAATGCCATGTAAAAGCATGTTCTGACTTTCTCTTTTCCTGATATTTGTGATATTGACTTGGAGGCGTGGTCGGTCTTCCAGAGAGGGTTGAGTTGCCTGTTTTGGTTTGAATCCTTTGACTGTAGGATATCCTGTTCAGTGCTTGTTGATACACCTGCTGTGCCTTGGGAGGCAACTATTGTCCTTTGTGCGTTGGCTAAGTGAGTTATTGGGCTCTGGTTCCAGGTGCATTTTGACACGTTGAGAGAAGTGTTTGGCTCTCACTAACATTATGGTGCTTTCATTCTAAGTAAGACAGAGAGATGCCGAGAAGAAAGGCAGAGTTTCAGCCACATTGTGTATTTCCATTGAAGGTATCCAAATAGCAGAGTCAAGAGACGCTGCATATCAAGCTATACATCTGAAAGTCTATAAGAAGGAGAGCAGAATTTATGCTTTTACACTGATGTTATGCAGCCCATTTAGAGGCAACAAATGCATTCAGAAAAGTAAATCCATTGGAAAGACTGTAAACTGCAGATGAGTTGCCTAGGGATGTGAGAGGCGTTTCTTGGCATCTTGCATTGATAGGGACATGGCTAGGTCTTAACAAAAGTCTCTAAGAAATAAGTCTTCACTGTTTTGTAGAGCAGTAATTGGAAATTGCCTCCCTGCAAAGCCTCGTTCCCATGTAGGTAATACCGGTAGCTCTTTCCAAAGCAGCACTTGAGATTTATCTGTGGATTGTTGTTATCCCTTGCACTGCTGTAAATGATAAACTGAAGGGACGAGAAGGCACCATGGTGCTTAGACATGGATTTTCTTCTCCTGAAGTGCTGTTCTATACCTGACAGTCTCTGTGGAGGTTTAATTAGATGTCAACTTATAGCATAATAACTGATCAAGTTACTAGCACAAAAGTCTCTTTCTGGCTTGATGGGCTCTTAAATGGGAGTTATCTATGAATCTTACTTTCCTGTTAGATAAGATGTAAATCTTCTTGTCTGTGCTTAGTAGAGAGTCACCAAGTATATCATTAAGAGGGAGGTAATGACAGATTAAGCCTCATGACACACTTTATATAGAAATGAAGAGAAGGAATACCTTATTTGGTGCTGCAGAATCACACCTGGCAGTGATCTTCCACAGCAGGGTAGACGCTGCAGTCAGCTGGCCATGTGTCATGTTGGGTGAGGAATCCCAGAGACGGGAGAGGTGCGTACGCTCTGGCAGCTGCTAGCTCTAACTAAGACGGCACGGATGACCACCCCAAAGGCAGGAGTAAGGTTAGACCAGGAACAAGATCCGTGTGGCCTGTTTTGCGGTCTGGTGGGACCACAGCTCTCTCTCGGCATGCCAGTGATGGCTGGGGCTCACAAGCCTGTTCTCTGCTCTGAGTGAGCGATAGTTCTTGTGAATCTCGTTCCAGCCCTGCTGAAATCAGTAGGAATATTACTGAGATTCTCAGTTACCACTGGGTTATCAGCTGATCACTAGCCCTCTCTCAGAGTTTGCGTCAGCTCCATGAACCTTTGGGGACGCGTATGAGCTACTCAACCTGGGTGAGAATCACAATTTAAGTATGTGTCCCCAGAAGCAGAATTTCCCCTCAAGGTCTTTGCTTTCTCCCTCTCCCACTTCTTTCTGTGCTGTGTTGTTAAACAGGTCATTTTTTTCTCTTTCAAACCCAACATGCAAAGCCCCAGTTGGCTCTTCCTGGGTGTTGAGCAAGAAAGTTGGCTTCATGCATGCTAGGAACATTTACTTGATACCTGAGGCTCAAGAACTTAGCCAGGCTTTCAAATTTATTAGTGAAATTATTTATGTTGGAAGATGTCAGAAACACAGGGATTAGTTTTAGATCAGAATAGTTACTCAGTCCTTTAATCCTTTCATTTTTCTCTCTTTCTCAGGCAGGATTTTCATATATATAGGCTGTTTCTTGCCTGTCTCCAGAAGATCAGTGCAAAGCTTAGACAACCTTTGGGAACTCTCCTTCAGGAAAGAACCTAACAAGGTGACAACAGTGCATTTTCTTGAAGAAGCTGCTGTTGCTGTGAAGTGCTGCAGCTCATGTCGTTATGATGGGGGCAAATGAGATGTGCAGGGCCAAGCTGGAGCAGACTGGAGGAGCTGTGTTTATAGTCTTTGGCGAGTCTATTTGTGCTCATTAAGAATTGTACCATTGCCATGCCAACAGCCATCCGTGCGCTCCTGCTGCTGCTGGGCCAGGGCTTGAGGGGGGCGTAGACCTAGCAGGCTGTGTGCTCAGTTAGGCTTCTCTAGCCCTTTCTCCACCTACAGTTTTTTGTTTACAAAAAAATGCTGTGAGCAGCTCTAGGGCTTAAGGAATAGGAAGACTGAGCACTCTGCTTTGGTAGACGCCACGGGGCAGTTTAGGTGGACGGTGCAGAAGGCAGGCACGTCCTAATGGTCCTGCTGTGTAGTGTTCACAGATGTTTGAGTTTTTGGGAGTGATTCTTGTTTCTCTCTGATTTTTGGCTAGTGTAGCTCTGCTGACTTGCATGGACCCCCATTTCCTTTCCTTTGGTGTAATTGCAGAATTTAGCCCTCATCGTTCAGTTTTCTCTCTTTGGGAATTAACTCCAGCTAATTGTCTCTTTCTGTTTAAGCCAGTGCGCTCATTTAAACCTGTCACTTCTGGGAGCTTTGTGAACAATGGTACTGGATCTGAAGATATCAAGGTCTTGGTGCATTTTATTCCTTGGTGGTTGGCTGGCATTGTCACACGGAGCTGATAATCCAGGGGCTATCATCAAGATTGATATTGGAACGATTGATCATGGTAAGCGAAAGAGCCACGTTCACATCCATCCTCAGGGCAGATCTGTACATTTGTGCAGACAGGCAGGATGTGGTGCACTGACTGTATCACAAAAAGGGAAGCCATCTTCCTCTTCCATATGACCTGTGTCTTTAAGCATGTTAACAGCTGCCGAGTGTTGCCAGGAAGGTGAATTCCCACGCTCTGCCTACATGCGGACCTGAGCCAGCTGCGTGGCTTTCTGCAACTGGAGCACTGCTCTTGTGGTGTAGGAGGGCAGCTGAGGACTTGCTGCTGGGGTATTTCCGAGTGATACAGAGCCAGCTTCTCCCTCTTTGGGACTCAGCATGGGAAGA